AGTTGGAATAAACGCTTTGATAATGTTATCAAAGCATTTGGTTTTGTACAGACTTTTGGAGAAGCCTGTATTTACAAGAAAGTGAGTGGGAGCTCTGTAGCATTTCTGATATTATATGTAGATGACATATTACTAATCGGAAATGATATAGAATTTCTGGATAGCATAAAGGGATACTTGAATAAAAGTTTTTCAATGAAAGACCTCGGTGAAGCTGCTTACATATTGGGCATTAAGATCTATAGAGATAGATCAAGACGGTTAATTGGACTTTCACAAAGCCCATACCTTGACAAAATTTTGAAGAAGTTCAAAATGGATCAAGCAAAGAAAGGATTCTTGCCAATGTTACAAGGTGTGAAATTGAGTAAGACTCAATGCCCGACCACTGCAGAAGATAGAGAGAAAATGAAAGATGTTCCCTATGCTTTAGCCATAGGCTCTATCATGTATGCAATGCTGTGTACCAGACCTGATGTATGTCTTTCTATAAGTCTAGCAGGGAGGTACCAAAGTAATCCAGTGGATCACTGGACAGCGGTCAAGAACATCCTGAAATACCTGAAAAGGACTAAGGATATGTTTCTCGTATATGGAGGTGACAAAGAGCTCATCGTAAATGGTTACGTTGATGCAAGCCTTGACACTGATCCGGACGATTCTAAATCGCAAACCGGATACATGTTTACATTAAACGGTGGAGCTGTCAGTTGGTGCAGTTCTAAACAAAGCGTTGTGGCGGGATCTACATGTGAAGCGGAGTACATAGCTGCTTCGGAAGCAGCAAACGAAGGAGTCTGGATGAAGGAGTTCATATCCGATCTAGGTGTCATACCTAGTGCATCAGGTCCAATGAAAATCTTTTGTGACAATACTGGTGCAATTGCCTTGGCAAAGGAATCCAGATTTCACAAGAGAACCAAACACATCAAGAGACGCTTCAATTCCATCCGGGATTTGGTCCAGGTGGGAGACATAGAGATTTGCAAGATACATACGGATCTGAATGTAGCAGACCCGTTGACTAAGCCTCTTCCACGAGCAAAACATGATCAGCACCAAAGCTCCATGGGTGTTAGAATCACTACTGTGTAATCTAGATTATTGACTCTAGTGCAAGTGGAGACTGAAGGAAATATGCCCTAGAGGCAATAATAAAGTTATTATTTATTTCCTTATATCATGATAAATGTTTATTATTCATGCTAGAATTGTATTATCTGAAAACATAATACTTGTGTGAATACATAGACAAACTAAACATCACTAGTGTGCCTCTACTTGACTAGCTCGTTAATCGAAGATGGTTATGTTTCCTAACCATAGACATGTGTTGTCATTTGATTAACGGGATCACATCATTAGGAGAATGATGTGATTGACATGACCCATTCCATTAGCTTAGCACCCGATCGTTTAGTATGTTGCTATTGGTTTCTTCATGACTTATACATGTTCCTATGACTATGAGATTATGCAACTCCCGTTTGCCGGAGGAACACTTTGTGTGCTACCAAACGTCACAACATAACTGGGTGATATAAAGGAGCTCTACAGGTGTCTCCAAAGGTACATGTTGGGTTGGCGTATTTCGAGATTAGGATTTGTCACTCCGATTGTCAGAGAGGTATCTCTGGGCCCTCTCGGTAATGCACATCACATAAGCCTTGCAAGCATTGCAACTAATGAGTTAGTTGCGAGATGATGTATTACGGAACGAGTAAAGAGACTTGCCGGTAACGAGATTGAACTAGGTATTGAGATACCGACGATCGAATCTCGGGCAAGTAACATACCGATGACAAAGGGAACAACGTATGTTGTTATGCGGTCTGACCGATAAAGATCTTCGTAGAATATGTAGGAGCCAATATGAGCATCCAGGTTCTGCTATTGGTTATTGACCGGAGACGTGTCTCGGTCATGTCTACATTGTTCTCGAACCCGTAGGGTCCGCACGCTTAACGTTATGATGACTTTTTCATTATGAGTTTATATATTTTGATGTACCGAAGTTTGTTCGGAGTCCCGGATGTGATCACGGACATGACGAGGAGACTCGAAATGGTCGAGACATAAAGATTGATATATTGGAAGCCTATGTTTGGACATCGGAAGTGTTTCGGGTGAAATCGGCATTTTACCGGAGTACCGGGAGGTTACCGGAACCCCCCGGTAACCTAATGGGCCTTAATGGGCCCAGTGGAGGAAGAGGAGAGGAGGCCTAGGGGCTGCCGCGCGCCCCTCCCCCCCAAGTCTGAATTGGACAAGGCCCCCCTATCCTTTCTTCCCTCTCCTCCTTCCCCCCAAGTCCTAATCCAACTAGGGAAAGGGGGGGAGTCCTACTCCCGGTAGGAGTAGGACTCCTCCGGCGCGCCTCCTCCTAGGGCCGGCCGCACCCCCCCTTTGCTCCTTTTAATACGGGGGCAGGGGGCACCTCTAGACACACAAGTTGATCTTCAAGATCGTTCTCTTAGCCGTGTGCGGTGCCCCCCTCCACCATAGTCCTCGATAATATTGTAGTGGTGCTTAGGCGAAGCCCTGCGACAATAGAACATCAAGATCGTCACCACGCCGTCGTGCTGACGGAACTCTTCCCCGACACTTTGCTGGATCGGAGTCCGGGGATCGTCATCGAGCTGAACGTGTGCTAAAACTCGGAGGTGCCGTAGTTTCGGTTCTTGATCGGTCGGGCCGTGAAGACGTACGACTACATCAACCGTGTTGTCATAATGCTTCCGCTGTCGGTCTATGAGGGTACGTAGACAACACTCTCCCCTCTCGTTGCTATGCATCACCATGATCTTGCGTGTGCGTAGGAAAATTTTGAAATTAGTATGTTCCCCAACAAATAGATCTCGCATCAAAACCTGGCTCTCTGGGGTCGACTGGAATCCCTCGCCCAACACTGTGAGGGTGCCTGTCATCATGTTGCTGAGGCACGTATGACCCACTCCTTGGGGGAGGTGTGGGCACTTAACGAGGATCATCGCGATCGATTCGGTGATCATATTGCTCACGGTTTCTGTACTGATCTCGTTGATCTCCACATCCCTCACGCCTCGGGGGCGATATTGGGCTGTGAGTCGACTGGACTGTGTCTGCAACCACGGATCTGCTGTGAATCCTATTCCGCGACTGAGATACTACTGTGTTCTGCTCACCCACGGCTCGGACCAAGGCCCGGATCTGCACCAAACCCCGACCAGCTTCTGACTGGGAAGGTTGAATTGACTCCACTATTCGGGCTGCAGCTGCGAGATTCTGGATTGGAGTTCAGTATACCGGAGTCGGAGGCGGAAAAAGTTGACACCGACTGGATTCGGGAGCATGTTGCCGAGCACGCTCATCGAGTGCGCGCTGGAGGTTCTCCAGTCGAGTGCGCTCAGCCAAGTTGGCCAGGCGCGCCTCCTCCAAGGCCTGGGCTTTAGGGGTTTCTCCAATGATAGGAGTGTGAAGTGCATCCATGTTCCGGCGGCGAAGTTCTTCTCTACGCTGCGACGAGAGGGGTTCGGGGCGGTACTCTTCATGAACACGCGACGGATCACCGCCCCCATCGCCTCCGTCTTCACGGGTGAAGCCAGGAGGACTGCGTGGTCCATTGACCATCAAAACTTACGCCGCAGGGTCGCTGCTGTCGCACTCGGATGTAGTCTCAACGGAGCCAGTCGACAGATCGAACAGGCCCTAGAGGGTTTCGTCGGGCTCGATTGCCGCGACTTGGGGGGTGGCCGACTGGCGAGCCACCGCATGCTTCACCCACCGCCGAAGCCTCGATCGACCGGATTGCTCCGGCGGGCCGCAGGGAGGGGGGAAGCTACAGGAGCCGACCGATACTGGGTCGACAGCTGCCACGGACGCATGCACGAAAGTGCGTTGCCCCGCGGACGGGGAGTGCGTCGACGTCGAGTGGAGCCTCCTGAAGCCAAGCGGAGTCATCGGCAACAAACACGAGCGCGCCGAGACGGATCTCGCGTCCCTCAGCCAAACCTCCGCCTGAAACCATGATGAAGGGGATCGGAAAAATTGCAACTTCTCCAACAAGTCGCTAAGACACCTACCCACGGTGGGCGCAAACTCTCGTGGTTCTAAGTCTGATAGTAGAATGGGGGGTAGGAATGTAGAGGCAAGATCTTAGCTATGGAAGAGTTGTACATAGGAGTTTTACGAGTTCAGGCCCTTCTCGGAGGAAGTAACAACCCTACGTCTCGGAGCCCGGAGGCAGTCGACTGGATTATATGCGTGTGTGTTACAAAAAGTGCGAACCCCTGTGCCTGTGGAGGGGGTGGCTTATATAGAGTGCGCCAGGACCCCAGCCAGCCCACGTCATAGAGGGTTTAAGGTACATAAAGAAGGGGCGTTACTGGTAACACCTGCAATAAAGATACATAATGACCATTAAAGCTATGACTTAATTCTCGACCGTTGCAGAGTGGAGTGGCTCTAGATCTTCTAGTAGTCGAGTGATTATCTGTACAGTTGAGTGTCTTCAGGATTGTCAAGTGGAACATAACTTCATGGTCGAGTGGATGATGATTTTTATTCGAATGCTCCTGGTACCTTTAGGGATGTACTTGGGGAGGGTATCTTGAACAGATCCATGACCCTACCCTAGGTACATAGCTTCATCACCCGCCGCCGCCGCCGCACCCGCCTCTCCCACCGCCGCTGCCACCTCCCTTGTAGCCGGGCGGCCCCCTCCTCCCCCTCCAAAAGCCCTACCCTAAAGCCGATGTGCCACCGCCCCCACTCCCTACCGCGGCCACACCACCACTTTCCCCTCTCCCCCCATGTCTTTCAACTCCTCCCTCTCCAGCGCCACCAACCCCTTCGCCGGCCCGGATCCCACCCACACCCGCAACCTGAACATCCATGAACATGTTCCCATTTGTCTTGATCCCCATGACTCCACGTACTACGCGTGGAAAACCTACTTATCTATCGTCTTTTGCAATTACAATCTCGTGGATCATGTCGACAGCTACGTCGATTCGAGCGCCATGAAGGATGACTCCGAGTGGAACGCCATCGATGCCACGCTCATCCGGTTGTTCTTCCTCACCGTTTCGAAGTCCTTGTTTCACACCGTCATGAGCGATGGTGATGATGCACACGTCGTGTGGGTGAAGCTCAACAGCCTATTCACTGACAATCATCTTCAACGTCGCGTCTTTCTGCAACAAGAATTTTTTTGTGGTCATCAAGAATTGATGATTACTGCCGACGCCTCAAGACGCTCTCCGATGAGCTCCGTGACATCGGCATCAAGATGGATGATGATCTCCTCCTCAGCACGCTCATGGCCGGCCTCAACGAGGACTTCGGCAAAGCCGCCGCCAATCTCACCTTTATGTCGGATCCCTCCTTCCCCAAGTTTATTGCATACCTGGGTTGGGAGGAACACCGGATGAAGCAGGTGAAGAAGCGGATGCAGCACACCGTCCTCGCCGCCGGCACTTCTCGCGGCGACGCCCACCACCTACTCCGCCGGCTCCGTGGCCTTTGCCCCCTGCGTCGTCATGCCTCTACCCGCTCTCAACAGCGCCACCCCCCCTCCCGGTGCGCCTAAACAGCAGCCCGGCGGTGGCCGTCGTAACAACCGCCAGGTAGGCATTCTAAGCAGCAGCACTAGCCCACCCCACCCTGAACCTAAGGCACCAACCCGTGCACCGGCGTTGTCCATGCGTACTCAATGCCAGTGCCATGGGCCCCAGCTCCAGGCCTCGTCGGGCCTCGACCGGTGGGCCATCAGGCCTACCTCGCCACGTCAGCCAGTGCCGGCTACACGGCCCATCCCACCCCGCCAATGGTCGGCGGCTGTGCTGCCGCCCTACGACAATTTCTTCCCACCACATGTTCCTCATCCATGTGACCCTGCTCTTCTGGATGCACTGCATTCGGCCCCGTGACCAAGTCAATACGGTGGGGATGGAGATTGGTACATGGACTCGGGCGCCACCGCCCACATGACATCTCATCCCAGTAACCTAACCTCCTCCACCCCAGTTCATGCTCCTACTCGCATCACCGTTGGTAACGGTTCCTCTTTACCTATCACACATATTGGTCGTACTTTGTTTCCTTCCACATCTACGCCCATCACCATGTCTAATGTTCTTGTTTCTCCTGATTTAGTCACGGACCTTGTTTCTGTTCGTCGTCTTGCTCGTGAGAATCCTATTACCCTTGAATTTGACGATGTTGGTTTTTCTGTGAAGGAGGCCCGTACCCGGATGGTTCTTCACCGATGTGATAGTCTCGACGAGCTCTACCCGGTGCACTCCTCCACCACCACCTCGACCACCCCAATCGCCCTCGCCGCCTGTGTCGACCTTTGGCATGCTCGTTTGGGACACCCGAACTCCACCATTTTGCGTCAAATTCTTCAGAGTTTTTCATTATCATGTAATAAGGTTGACGACCATACTTGTGAGGCTTGCCATCTTGGCAAGCAAGTTTGTCTCCCCTTTAGCGCATCTACAACTATTTCCACTTTCCCATTTCAGTTACTTTATAGTGATGTTTGGACATCTCCGGTTGCAAGTAACACCGGCTACCTCTACTATTTGGTGATTTTAGATGATTTTTCTCATTATGAGTGGACATTTCCTCTTTGTCGCAAATCCGATGCCTTTGCCACACCCACCACATTATATTCCTATGTCATCACATAGTTCGGTCGTCCCATACTTGTACTCAAACCGATAACGGAAAAGAATTTGACAATGTCGCCATTCACAATCTTCTTGCTTCACACGACACCATCTTCTGCCTAACTTGTCCCTACACTTCGCAACAAAATGACCGTGCTGAGCATATCCTACACACTCTCAATGATTGCGTTCATACGCTACTCTTTCACTCTAAATTACCTCCCCGATTCTGGCTTGATGCTCTCCCCACCGCCACTCCTCTTCTTAACATTTGATCGTGTCGTCCCCTTTGGAACTACGACCCTCACCAAGTCCTCTTCGGTGCGCCTCCAAGTATCGTGTCCACCACCCGCCACAAACTCACCCCACGATCACTTCCTTGCATCTTCCTTGGCTACCCGTGCAACACCAAAGGTTACCGGTGCTATGATCCAGTGTTCCACTGCGTGTATGCCTCGCGGCACATGTACTTTGACGAGACGGTGTTTCCTTTTCAGCAGGTACCACCCTCTGCCGAGTCCTCTGTGGCATCTCTCTCCCCTTGTAACTTGTATGTATCTTGGGAGACAAGGCAACCGGTGCACCCCCATTATCTATATATGTTCCTAGTGCACGATCAATCAAATCATCGATGCGTCCAATCCCTCTCTTCCTAACTTACAGGAATGTCTCCTCCCACTGAACAAATATCGCCAGAAGGCTGAAATAAATCAAAGAAAATGCGATCTCCAATATCAAATCTAAGACTTAGATTCTTGTGTGCTGGGAATAGCACCGTCCTCCTAACCATCCAACCACAGTGGTTCGCACACTCTAGTTTCCTAAGCTCGAATTACTTAGGGTGCATGTTTCCTTATTTCAATCACATATATGTGGCACAGATTATTTTTTTCTATTTCGAATTGTAAATAACTCTACTTTTCTTAAGAGTATGGCATGGTAGAGAGGAAGAACCATGAGTGGACATTAGCGTAGTGAATACTGTGTAGTAGATGTCAAGCAGTACGTGCATATAGAGTAATATATTGCATCATGGAAGGTGATCGATGTAATATATGCACACGTGCACTAGTTTTTTAACTGTTAGCACAAAAGAAAAATTGAAGTAAGAAATTTACTTGTTGTCTCGTATTCGAGGTGACTGTTTCATGTCATCGACCTTTACCAAAAATGCAGGTCACTTCCGTACATACATACACTACCCGCTGCAGTACAGCTACCAACAGTGACCACAATTATCATAGCACGGACGAACAATGATACTTGCAAACCACCTGGCTTCAATTAAACACTTATTTGTTCACATGGACAATCAATCGTCGAGTAATCGAAGAAGGGCACCTAATTTGCTTTCTGCAGCAGAGCATGCACATAACCAAGAACTCTGTCATGTGTACTGACCATGGAAATTGAATTGGACATGATTGCCTGCCACTTTCTATCTTGATTTAAAATTGGAGAGAAAAAAACTCATCGCCCACGACACCTACCCCAAGTGCTGGCTGGTAATGAGCAGATGTGAGCTTTTCCCGTATTCAAATCATTATGGTTGATAACATGGAGGCGATTTTGCACACGTAGCAACCATGTCGACATGACAAACATACATAAAAATATTAGGAACTAATATATTACATCATGGAAGGTGATCAATGTTATATGTGCACGTGTATTTGTTTTGTAACTGTTAACACACATGAAAAATTAAAGCGAGAGAAATTTAGTTGTCATCTCGTATTCATGATGACTATTTCATATCATCGACGGATATGAAGATGACAAGAGAGTATGTATAAGTCCGGCTACGTACAGTACCCGCAACTATCATATTACGAATGAACAGTGGTACTTGCAAACCACCTGGCTTCAATTAAACATTTATTTATTCATGCCAAAAATCGGCCCTAGAGTAATAAACGAAGAGCTATTAATGTGCTCCCTATGCCCGAGAATGCACAACCATGGGAGTCGAGTCAAACTTGATTGCTCGAGGTTGCCAACTCGCTCGGGTTCAAGACAAACATCTACCTTGGTATACAAGTGGAAAAACTCAACGCCAAACCTACCTTACTAATTTTTGTAGTTTTGCCTCTTATATTTTGAAATTAGAAAAGCTTGACCCTTAACTTCTGACACAGAGCAGATTTGATCCTTTACCCAAGTCAAAACAGTATAGTCATTGACATGGCGGCAATTTTGCACCCATAACAAGCCTTTCGACATGAAAATCAATAAAAATGAATAAAATATATTTTACATACAAATTTATACAGAAATCAGGAAAACCCTATAAGTATTCCAATAAGTAAATAATTGTTCTGAATACACTTCAAGAGTACTATAAAAAGACTGCTCGTGAATGTATAATTTATTTATACGTTTTCCACAGTTTCCAGATTTTTGTTCAAACTTCTAAATTTATTCCTCTTTTATCTTGTCCTGAATTTCCATTGCTGTTTTGTTTAGTAACGAATGCATGTTTTTTTATCTTGTTTTTGTGCCGATTGGTTTGTGCATAAAAGCATCACCACATTAGTGCTCAGATGAATTTCACCAGGTCAGCAGTCAAAGCATCCAAACTTTAAATTTTAGAGTATGTGCGCAAATCATCTGGTCACCTGAACATCACCAGGTTAGCGATCAAGGCATCCAATCTTTACATTTAGAGTATGGGAATCATAAATAAACTTAGCCAACACTTTAGTGGTCAAATATAATGTTAGTCCCTTCAGATGCAAAACTAAGTTGTATACCCAAGACAACACTAGAGATCATTGCCACTTTTGCTTTATGCATACATGACATGCACATTGTCTGAAGTTCAATTCGCTTTGATATATTCCACGTTTTATGGTATCTTTGAAACACAATATTATGAAAACGTCGAAATAGAAGAAGAAAAGAACACATGATGAGAATGGCAACACATGATGAAAACGTGTGGTTGTCTCATAACATAGTGAGTAATATGGCTTGCTAGAATTCAAACAAAATATGTAGGCCTGCCAAATTACTAGTACCATTTAACTCTATTTGTCGATTCTCAAAAAAAAAAGAAACTCTATGTGGTGGCCTGGGTGATTAATTATGCGGTTGCAAATTAACTATCAGCTTAGCTAATCAGAGTACACTGACTAATTAATTGAAAACTGTAGCTAGCATGGGTGGCTCTTTCAGCCGCGTCAGCATTCACCATGGAAAATAGCAGAAGTGTGCCAATAAAGGAAAACAACGACAACATGTGGGTCCTCCACTGCTATTCCTCTCCAAAGGCTATATATACAGAGTGTGTGTGTATATGTCCTTTCTTTCTCATCTCTTGGTGTTGCTAGCAACCTGGCTGCTCCCTCCTTGCTATTACTAGCAGTACTCTGATTCCCTCCCACTATCTCTTCTCTCCAACCTCCAGCAGCTCTCGCCGTCCCAACAACTCTCTTAAATAGCCTCTCTAGAAGTCTAGATCACCGGTCATGATCCGCCCTCCCGCCTTGCTAGATTCATCAAGCTGCTGGAACACAAACCACAGCCAGCAGCAGGTATGCATCCTTGTGTTTCTATAGCTATCTAATAAGTAGTATAGTCCCTCAAGATTTTGCACACAAGAAAAAAGAGTATGTGTGTCTGTGCACTAGCTAAGCTAGGGTTTGTTATTGCAGATATATACCTTCGAATATACTTCGTGCATATACATCTTGGCTATATGCTTAATTGATTACTCATCTCCTTGTTGATTCGTAGCTGCAGCAAATCGGCAGTAGCACTCATAACACTGCTACTCCACCTGCTGGTCCTGGTGATGGTGGAGGCAGCAATCAAGAAGGGTTTATGGCCACGGCCTGGGCCGGAGAGGGTTGTGGTGCTGGGGATGGCGATGGAGGCGAGAGCGGGAATCGCAAGCCGATGTCCATGTCGGAGCGGGCACGGCTGGCACGGGTGCCGCGGCCGGTACCGGGGCTCAACTGCCCACGCTGCGACTCCACCAACACCAAGTTTTGCTACTTCAACAACTACTCCCTCACCCAGCCTCGCTACTTCTGCCGTGCCTGCCGCCGCTACTGGACCCGCGGCGGTGCGCTCCGAGACGTGCCCACCCGCCGCCACGCCAAGCGCAAGGACAAGCCCAAGACGGCATCGTCCGCCTTGGAAGCCACTGCGGCAGGGATGTTGTCTGCGACGTCGACGATTCCCAGCAGTACATCTTGTGCCACCGGCACCGCGCCGCCCGGCCTGCAGTACTCCATGTTTGGCAGCGGGTTCGCCAACAGCTTCGACCCAGCGACCCTCAGCCCCAACTTTCATGCCAGGCTGCTCTTCGCGGACAGCGACGCCTACGGGGCGGACGGCTGCGCGCAGCAGCACTACCACCAGGCCCACGTGAACGGGATGGAGCAGTGGGCGGCGGCGCAGATGGACAGCTTCCCATTCATGCACGCCAGGGATCATCAGATGTCCGGACCGCCAACTGACGCAATGCCCATCACGGTGGAGGCAATGCAGGGCATGTGGGCGGAGCTAGAGCTAAAGTTACCCTGATGCACCACCTAACCACACCGTAAAATTTCAAGCAACGATGTATTTAATAAGGGTGTATTTCACAACTTGTAACACGGAATTTGGGACATAATGGAAGCCGGTGTACAAAAATCAACAGTATTTTTTCAATATAATTGTTGGAAATATGAGCAATTTATCAAATGATTTTATTAATAGAAATATTAGATAAGCATGACTAATATAACATGGATAAAAGTAGTCATGCGATCTGACAGAGAGAAGGTAAATAACATCTTCATATATGAACTGCAACCAAACATGTCTAGAGCAGATAGTAGAACAGGTTGCATAAATGGCATAGAACCTAACATATGTAGGACATACACTAGAGCAAATAACTGTGAGAGGACCTCTAACAGAAAGAGTAAGAACACGTATAGGACAGCAGCAGCAGCAGCACTGGACTTGGGGTTGGTGTCCTCGCCAGCCATGTCGTCGAGAAGGTTGTCGACGTCGGGGAAGAAGTCATCGTCGGGGAAGTAGTCGTCAGAGTCCAGGGCGTTCGTGACGAAGAAGTCAGTAGTCGCGCTGAGCGCTCCCCAAAAACCTTATCACCCTTCTCCCGTACAGAACTCAAAAGGTGCGGTTCCGGAGGCTTATTGTCCCAACCTGCGGTGCACGCCGCAAGCCGGGATGGTGAAGAACGTAGCAGCGACGCAGTGCTCAGGAACTTGTGGCGAGAGGAAGAAGAGTTTCTGGTGCGTCTCTCTGAGAGGAGCGACCTCCCTTTTATAGGCGCAAGAGAAGGAGGCGAGAGGCTGTGCTGGGAGCTGAATAGAACGAGGGAGATGAAACGTCAATCTGCACGTTCGGTATTCAATCTCCACTATAGCAAAACGTTTCAGCTTCCGTGTGGCCTTTTGTATACCCGTCGTGCGTGGTAAAAATTTAGACATCGGCTGGGCTCATTCCCGCAACCCGCGACGAGGCGCGCGGCGGAGGAGGAGCACGCGTGGATGTCCCTCTTGTTCTCATCCTCATACATGTGGAGAAAGAGCCTCCCTTATAAAGAGGTCCAACTTCCTCTAAACTAGCAATGTGGGACTAAACTTTAGTTCCACCTCTTTCCTTGCACGAATGGGCTGCGTGGACCTCTAGGATTTATTAGGAGTTTCTAAAACTGCTATTGGGCTAGGCCCAAAATAGACAAAATTCCAGCAATCCCTGATCAGATCTGAGAGACACCCAAAATTTGCCTTTGGTTCCAAAACACTATTTTATATACCGGTACTGTAGTGGAGACTGTTAAGTTGAACTTCCACCTAGAACTCTATGCTACACTAGTAAGCAACTTGAACAGTGGACTAGGCTTTGAACTGCAAGTTTTCTGCGAATCTAGCTTCACATAAAGCCTTGACCGATACGTGGCTACCGTGGGTCTTCCCCGCGGGTGGAGCTTATGCGTCATACTCCAAGACCTTTCATGAGTTTACTAGAGAGAACCCTACTCTAATAGATTGCGACGTTTGACAATCAGACTGTTATAGGTGTGTTCTTCAAAAGATGTTCTGCAGGACAACATCTCTTCTTAAATGAGCCACTTAGAACACATTAAGATATACATCATCCTGCCATGCAGATTTAGGAGAGTATTGCATCTTCATGGAGTTGATCTTCATGGACGATCGTACCCCCGATGTCGCCATCCACAAAGCCCTTGCCCTCTGGCACCTTGGCCACGAAAACTGGGTATGCCACATCCTTCTCTCTGAGACACCGCTTCTCTAAAGAAAGAACACTGTCGTGCAGACTCCGCATAGCACCGGTTGCAGCATTCAGCATATTTGGCGGTAGCATCGCCCTACCCGCCACATGCACCCTCCTTGAGATATCCTTAGGTGAAGGTGGCCTGTCCTGAGCACGGATCGAACTCGGTGCCGGCTGGCTCGCACCGGCGCCCTTGTTAGTCTTTTGTTTCCGTCCCTTCTTCTTGATCTCCTATAATGGGACCGAGTTTTGCTCACAGACCGCCTTCTTGAGCGTGTTGGGGCTGATAATATTTCGCACCTCAGCTATCTGAGGCTCGGTGAAGGCGGGAGCTGGAGCCGTGTCCTGAGAACTGAACGCCAGACGACGCCTGTTGCAATTGGATTTCTCCGCCGTACCAGCTAGATCGCGGTGGTCTTGGTTGGGTTCTTGAGAAAGAGGCCCGCAGAACTCGTCAGCGTACCCATGTTCGCCAAAGTACTTATCAACATTGGTAAATGTAGCGTCGTCGTTGTCGTCGCCGTCCGGATCCTGTGCCATAGGGCTATTCGGATCCTGTGCCATAGGGATGTCCGACAGGTCCGGTAGCGTTGCGGCGTTCTTGCCATGGCTTGGCGCCGGCACGACTAGCGGTCTTGTCTGTGGGGTGGTGTCCCCCGCCCCCAAACGAATCTGGCTCTTCGGCCAAAGCAGGGGCCAGTTTACGCAGGCGCTGAGGGTCATCTCATCTTCTTCGTCGGCCCCAGCGGGTCGAATCGGAGGTAACAACTCGTCGCTGCCTGGCAGCACCCGAACCACTTCAACCCTATATATGTGGGTGGCATCGGATTACCGTGGAACATGGGGTTTCCCGGTTGAACGATTCTTCCCTTGGCGACATCGACCAACTCGGCGCCCACGAAGTGCAGAAGAGTGCAAGGAACGTCGGCGGTGCCCTGCGAAAACATGTACAGGGCGTCAGGGATGCCCAGTCAAAGGCAAGGAGATGAAGTCATCGGCCGAGAGGCTTAGTTACCGTGATGCCGTCGAGCTCGGCTAATGTCGAGGCACCGCCAACGGCGGGCGTGCAACTGACGGAGGGGGCGCTTGTTGGCGAGGTGCCGGCCGGCGTACACCCGGGTGCATTAAGCTCCAATGCCCGTGCCGGCGCCGGAGACACGAATACCGCCTCCGCCGGAGACACCAATGGCGCCGCCGCCGGAGACACCAATGGCGCCGCCGGAGACACCAATGGCGCTGCCTGCGCGCTGTGCGAGTTGCTGGCCGTGAAGCTGGGAACCGGGGAAGGCCCCTGTTGGCCGCCTGCAATCCACGTCGTCAGCCCATGAATCAACGTAGGCACCATGGCGTTGAGCGTCGTTCCAAGTTGTTGTTGCACTTGCTCTTGGACAAGCTCCGGAATCCGTGCCACTTGTGCCTTGAGTTCTTCAACCTCGTGCGTCTGGCTTTCCGAGCTGGTCTTTTTCTCCTTCCGCACACCAGCGGTATAGTATGACCCCCATTTTGTGGACAAGCCTTTGCCGGCCACACGACCAGCTGACGTCGGCTTAGTGAGCTTATCCTTGTTTTTCATTACATTCAATGCCCTATTTAAAGGGGTGTCGAAAGGGGAGCTCTTAGACGACCCCGCGCTACTGCTTTCAGTGTCCTGCGAAAGGAACGTGAACCATTTAGAAATATTGGGGATTAATTAGAGTGCAACCATATGGAGCTAATTACGCGGGGGTGTATTCCTTACCAGAAGAAGCTCAAGCGCCCTGGTCTTCGGATCCGTGGTAAGCTCCTTTGTTATCGGGTCCTCCTTGTACCGGGCCCTGACATAGTTCCTGGTCTGCTTGTCACCGCTGTATTTCTCGAAGCGGGGCGGTAGGCCTTGCTCGGCACGCTCCGCGTCCTCCTTGTCCCATATAGGCTCCGCCACTCTGTAACCGCCGGGACCGAGCTTGTGTTCCCCTAAGTTCAACTCCCGCATTTCTTCCCCCCACTGACTTGATTCGGAGGTTGCACTGCTCTCGCACTTGATCTTGAACTCCTTGTACTCATCTTCGCTCATCAAAGGATATTTTGCCTTGATCTTCTCATAACTATCACCTTTATCAATCATTCTCTTCACCGCGCTTCTCCAAGTAGACAGGGCCGTGCTCATCTTCGTGAGGGCGGCACTGATCACTTTATTCCCTGAGAGGCGTGTGTTTTCAAATTCGGCGGGGAACTTGTATCGTTCGTGCAGCTTCGTGAAGAGGAGGTTGCGCAAATTCCCTCGGTCCTTATGCCTAAGGTTCTCGGTGTTGATCGAGACGGTGCTCCGGAGAATGCACCCGAGCTGAACCAAGTACCCCTTGACTATATGTTTGGGCTCCGTTGGATTCCCGTCGGAGTCCACTTGAGTGAATTCCTCCTTGAGGGTGTGGAGCGCATTCGGGCACCGGTCCTTCCTTTGCTTCTTCGGTTGGCTGCTATCTGTGTGTGCGTCACCATCATCAGTGGTGGCATCCTCGGCGGCACCATCAGTGGTGTCATCCCCGACGCCACTAGGGGTTGTGTAATCAGCATCGGTGTCTTCCGCGGCGTCCTCATAGCGGTGAGGTTGTTCCTCCATCTCCTGGGACAGCTCCCAGAATTGCTTGCCCCACGAACCACCGGCCTCATCATTGTGGGCCATGTTTCGCTCTAAATAGGAAAAAAGTTTGGTCAAAAAGTTGGTTATTGTCAAGGAACAAGATCATGGTCTCATCATTTAGGGTTTGTCGACACCGAGGCACCCTAAAAGCCTAAGCTTTCATCATTTAGGGGTTGTCGACGCCGTGGCACCCTAAAAGCCTAAGCGTACATCATTTAGGTTCTCATCGACCCCGAGGCATCCGGGGCAGCCAAGTTAAGTTTTCATCATTTAGGGTTTATCGATGCCGAGGCACCCTAGGTTGGGCCTAATCACTTGGCACTAATCACTTGGCTCTATGGCCACCTATGTTGGGTTTATCATCTACGGTTTATCGATGCTAAGGAGAATTCTAAGTTGGGCCTAATAACTTGGCTCTATTACCACCTATGGTTTAATGCAGCATGAATGGCAGGGCAGTGGATCCTACTTAACTAAGTACTAAGATACCCCGGCCCATGCATTAGTCGCAAGTACCCCATATGTCCTATTTTTAGCAAAGTCATGCTAAAATTCATGGAAAATTTTAGCATGACCTTTGCTGAAAATAGGACATATGGAGTACCCGAATTTGCCGGAACGGAAGTTAATCGACATTCCGGCAAACTCAAGG